ACTAAACCGCTTAACTCTTGATCGGTTTAGGTCTAATCCGGACAACACTCACCAAGCGGTTTATTTATAAATCGCTTAAGCCTTAACCGATTTAGGGCTTAAATCGCCCAACCCTTATCCAATTTATGGCTAAATCGCTTGGCACTTGTCCAATTTAAGACTTAATCCGGACAACATTTCAACAGATAACTTTTAAATCAAAAGTAAAGTTCAATCAATTATACAACTATGAAGAGCTTTAAAAGTAGTAAAAATCACTCACCTTGAAAAGCCTTTTGAAAACAATTTGAATCTACTTTGCTCCAAAAAGAATCCGGTCAACCTCTCTCTTTAAATCGCTCAAACAAATAGCAAAAGTGGCAAGAAGAAGATGATGGGGGCTTCACCCCCTTTTATACTTTCCTTTTCTAGAAAGTCGGCCGCAACAGCCTTCACCTCCTCGCCACTTATATGCACACACACACACATCATGCATCTATATATATATATATATCATGCATGTGGGTATATATATACATACATATATATATATATATATAYATACATATATATATATATACATACATATATATATACATACATATATATATATATATATCATACATATATATATGCACCCACAATTACACATAACCTCATACATGCATCAACATTATGCACATAATTTCACATACTAGCATGATCAATTATATTAATTTATCATGCTATCACAAAATCATTTAATCAGATAATCACGTATTTATTACCTCGGGTGATAACCGGAATTCAGTTATCACATTATCCACCCCTCAAAAGAATTCCGTCCCGAAATTCCTTTAATCAAAGAGCCAAGGGTACTCTGATCTAATTTTAGATTCCAATTCCCATGTCGCTTCTGGTCCTTTGTGAAACTTCCACCGAATTTTAACCAGACTGATCTCTTTGTTTCTCAACACCATGATTTTTCGGTCAATTACAGCTTCGGGTATTTCCACAAAGTTCAATTTACTGTCTAATTCAATCTCTGGCATCGGTATAGCTAGACTTGGACCGGCTAAACATTTCCACAGATTCGATACGTGGAAAGTGTTGTGAATCAGACTTAGTTCTTCTGGTAGCTCTCACTGATATGCCACTGGCCCAATTCGCTTACATATTCTGAACGACCCAACATACCTCGGACTGAGCTTACCCTTCTTTCCAAATCTGATGACACCCTTCCACGGCGAAACTTTCAACATCACAAAATCACCTATACAAAACTCAATCGGCTTTCGATGATTATCAGCATAACTTTTCTGGCAATCTTGTGCTGTTCTGATTCTTTTGCGAATTTGTTCGATCTTTTCAAAAGTTTCTTAGACAATCTCAGGACCTGTCAGCTTTCTTTCACCCACCTCATTCCAACACAACGACGTTCGGCATTTACATCCATACAATACTTCATACGGTGCCGCTTGGATGCTGGAATGGTAACTGTTGTTATATGCAAACTCTATCAATGGCAAGTGATCTTCCCACGATCCCCCAAAGCCAATAATACAACTTCTCAACATATCTTCGAGAGTCTGGATAGTTGTTTCACTCTGCCCATCAGTCTGCGGATGATAAGCTGTACTTAGTCGGATTTCAGATCCCAAAGCTTTCTGCAATCCTTTCCAGAATTTTGAAGTAAACCGACTATCTCTATCAGAAATAATAGATAATGGAACACCATGTCTGGTCACAATTTCTTTGATGTAAATCTGTGCTAGCGTTTCTAAAGAGTATTTCTCTCTTATTGGCAGAAAATGCCCAGATTTAGACAGACGATCAACAATTACCCAGATCGCGTCATACCCCTTTGGAGTTCGAGGCAATTTCATGACGAAATCCATTGTAATGTGATCCTATTTCCATACAAGTATCTCTAAAGATTGAAGAATTTCATACGGCTTCTGATGTTCAATCTTAACCTGTAAACATGTCAGACACTGTTCCACATATCTAGCTATGTCTCTCTTCAATCCGGGTCACCAATAAAAAGGTTTCAAATCTTTATACATCTTATTGGTGCCTGGATGACTAGAGTATCGGGACTTATGGCTTTCATTTAATATAGTGTTTCGGATATCTCCAAAACATGGTACCCAAATCCGTCCTTGAAAGCACATTAGTCCTTCGTCATTCTGTTCCAAAGTTGAAATCATCTTACCCAACCTTTCTATTTTAACAAATTCTTCTTTCATAGCTTCTTGTTGACATTTCTGAATTTCTTTACGAATGTCAGGAACCAAATTCATTCTCATTGCCACAGCTTTAATAGTTCCACTTTTTTCTTTTCTGCTCAAAGCGTCAGCTACCACATTTGCTTTTCCCGGATGGTAGAGGATTTCACAATCATAGTCATTTACCAGTTCAATCCACCGACGCTGTCGCATATTTAATTCTTTTTGGCTGAACAAATGTTGCAAACTTTTATGACTAGTATAAATCTGACACTTTGTTCCCAGAAGATAATGCCTCCATATTTTTAGAGCAAACACTACTGCAGCTAATTCCATGTCATGGTGGATACTGTTTCTCATGATCTTTCAATTGTCTTGATGCATAAGAAATTACTTTTCCCCTCTGCTTCAGAACACATCCTAACCCCAACTTTGAAGCATCGCTGTATACCACAAAGTCTTCGGATCCATCTGGTAAGGTCAATACCGGTGCACTGCAAAGATGATCCTTTAATAATTGAAAAGCTTCTTGTTGTTCTTTTTCCCACTAAAATTTTACATTTTTCTGAGTCAATTTGGTCAATGGTACGGATATCTTAGAAAAGTCCTGAATGAACTTACGGTAATAGCCGACCAATCCCAAGAAGCTTCGGACTTCAGAAGGAGTTTTCGGAGCTTCCAATCTTGCAACTGCTTCTATTTTTGCTGGATCTATTTTTACCCTTGCTTCTGAGATGACGTGACCCAGAAATTGGACTTCCCTTAACTAGAACTCACATTTAGACAACTTAGCATACAGCTTTTCCCTTTTTAACAATTCCAATATCAGTCGAAGATGTTCTGCATGTTCTTCTTTGGTCTTCGAGTATATAAGAATATCATCGATAAATACAATAACGAATTTATCAAGATATTCCTTACATACCCTATTCATCAAATCCATAAAGGCTGCGTGCGCATTAGTTAAGCCGAATGGCATAACTAAGAACTCGTGATGCCCGTACCTAGTTCTGAACGTTGTTGTGGCAACATCTTCTTCCCTGACTTTGAGCTGATGATATCCTGACCTTAAATCAATCTTGGAGAAATAAATTGCTCCCACCAATTGATCGAACAAGTCATCAATCCTTGGTAAGGGATATTCGTTTTTGATTGTCAACTTATTTAGTTCACGATATTCTATACACATTCGCATAGACCCATCTTTCTTCTTGACAAATAAGACCGGAGCACCCCAAGGTGAAGTGCTGGGCCTAATAAATCCCTTGTCAGTTAAATCTTTTAACTGTGCAACCAATTCCTTCAATTCAGATAGAGCTAACCGATATGGTGCCTTTGCTACTGGTGCAACTCCTGGTACAAGATCAATTCGGAATTCAATGACTCTGTCTGGTGGTAATCCAGATAAGTCTTCTGGAAAGACTT